TACAATGCGTAAACCATGAACATCGCTACAGTTACCATGGTTCCCCACCGATGTGTCGAGAATTAACATAAAGTCAACGCGGAAAATATTTGAAAAGGAAAAAGAAGAAGCCTGTAATATTCATACATGAGAATATCATCGGTCGATTAATGAATAGCGCGTTTTCCCGTTCGTACATTCTACACACGAATTTATCTTTTATCTTTTACCTGAACTGTATCATATTCCACATGGCGCATTAATTTCGCTTTTAGTTTGTTACTTACTATATCAAAGGAGCATGTTAGTGATCGTATTACTGCGAGACAAGACCGGGTTAGTTCTTTTAAAGAGGAACTTTACTCACGTCGGTATGCTATTAATATGCCTTACGGCGGAACATCACTTTATCGCCGTTAAAGTTGTAGCTGCACCGTGAAATTCACTTGACTTTCAACGCTGCTTTTGCATACGGAAAAAAGATTAGCTGCGGTAGTTAAATTAGCTGTAACATATGGATACTTAAAACTTTAGCAGCGTGAGTAATTTTAATTGCCGCAGTAACAAACTCTTTTCGTAAATGCCATTTACGATAATACGTTTGTTGCGGCAGTAAAAAAGTTTGCTATTGCAACAATTAAAATTGCTTACGCTGCTAAAGTTTTAAGTGTGCCCACATGTTACAAATAATTTAGTTACTGAAATTAATCTTTTTTTCTCCGTGCATACTCGGGATTTTATATCGGACAAATATTTATATATTTAAGCCTTTCACATCAGACAGAACGGACTTTAATTTTCTCGATCACGTATATTGGTTTTCTTTGATCCGAGTTAGCGCGTGACAACTTAACGAGCCGAAGTCCGACCGAAATCTCATTTTATCCAATTTCACGAGGGACGTTCTTAGTACACCGAAAAATCTGGATAGAGATATTTTCGCCGTGGTGGTTCTTGTCGTGGTGGTCTTCTTCTATCGGTAAACTCATCGCAGCAATCCTTTTTGCGCTTCGTTCGCGAAGAGAATTTCTCACGAAGCTCCGACATCGATTACGTTCATAGAGACTCTATTTTCACTGAGAAATTCGGTCTCCCTTAACATCTCACCTCCATGTCATGCTCTCTAAAAAAAAAATCCACGGTGTCGTCGACCATGAACACGACACACGATACACGTCTTCATTAATTGAAAAAATAATCAAAAGATCTATTTCGTCGCATCGTATCGCTCGCAATGAGAAAAAAAGTGGTAGAATCAGCGAAATTTTGTTTAAACGAACAACAATTTTTCAAGCACAACGTTTAGCCTATCGAGCAAATTGTAATTACTGTTATTATACATTGTAAGCAACTATATCAATGTAATATATTGTTGTGCCAATGCGTAATTTGTTTACTGGGCATAATGTCCATATGGAAAATTTCTTGGAATCTAATTGGAATCCAGTCCGATTTCCCGAAATAATTATGGATTTTAATTGGGGAATCTGCAGGTTCTGGTTAGAAGTGTAATGTTTTAAACATATTCTCTAAATAGGAAACGTAAACAGATCCTATTTGGTCACCATCATTTTCCCAGAGATTGTTTCGCTTTCCATTTTATACTATTACACGAAGAAAATATTGCAATAAAAAATACCATGAAATTTTGTATTGTAATGTAATTCTGGACCATATTGGAATTACGACTGAAATTATGATATGTATTGTAATCTTTAATGATGTGTATCATGTGTACATATCATTAAAGATTATAACATACATAATAATTTTGATCATAATTTCGGTATAATTCAATATTACGAACTTTTGTAGTAATGTTTATTACAATATTTTCTGCGTGTAACTTGATTGAGCAAAATATACAAAACATTTTAAATATTCGCATTTTACAAATACACTAACACGCGCGCGCACTCTATTAAACTTAAATAAACTTAAAATTAAATAGCAACTTTAGAAATGTAGTACCGTTTAATAACCTCTTAAACTATTACTCGACTGACGATGACAGTCGCATGTGGCAGCACATAGCCAATTAGCATGGCGGAAAAGAAGCTTTATCTCATGTTCGGGATAAAAATGAGTTTTCCAATTAGTATCGTAGTGGGATAACCTATTTTGAGACAACTTTATTCTAATTAGAATCTATTTTATATATGGGAAGATGTAGGAAAATTCCTATACGGGTATTCTTGAATGAAGATGACCGCGCCGATTTTGTCGGGCTGACCGTTTTTTTTTCAGTACAGAACAATTTCTCAGTACAGAAAACAGTACGTAATAAACTTAATATGCCGCCGTTGAGATTGCAAAATCGAGACCTTGTTTCCATCCCTTTTATGCCATGTTAATTTCAATCCATACAGCGATGGCTAATTGAGATGGATCATTATTGATTCCGTACGAAAATAAAATTCAGATACAAGGTTGTATTATCGAGATTGTCGACGAGTATCGACTATCGGTTCATTGTCATGAATAATCAAAGACTACGAAGATTACGTTATTGAGATTGAACATTCGCAAATTCGCCACAACGAACTGTCTCGTACACAATTTTGGCGTTTATAACATGGAACTGGCTGAACGCATCACCGCTCTCCCGTAATGTTTGTTGTAAAATAATATCATTCCGCATCGAGAAATAGAAACGGAGTTTAGATTGAATTTATTTTTAATTACGTCTACGGGAAAAATTATTAACGTCAAGCGTAGTTAACAAGCAAACTTTATTCTCGCTTTTCTGCAATCTAAACGAACTCGTTAACAGAAATTAATTAGTTAAATTTATTCGACTCGATAGATGAGACCTGTTTGCGGTCGAACAGCTGATATATCTGTCTCTCATTTTTCACTTTGTCGCTCATCTGCACGTTTCTTTCTTCTTTTGTGTATTTCGTCACGTACGTCACGTGCGTGTGTACGTATGTGTACCGCGCTGTCGCACTCGAGGTTGCTTTAAGCGTAAAATTATTTTCGCCTTCTTGCGAGTTGCGACCGTATAAATTCCAGGATGTCACGGTGTAATCAGTGACGCCTTTGTGCCCGAATTCCACGTTTTATGATCGCCCGCCACTGAATCCCGCTCGGAGCCGATTGCACGTGCGATTTGTGCACCCATAAAAACCAGACGCGGCGAGGAAATAACGGCGAGACGCCGTTTGAAGTCGCGAGGTTTAAACGAAATCGGCTCGCTGAAATAATTTCGCGCGTGCTCGATACGATACAATGCGTGGTCTGTTCTCTCACGATGCGATCTTTAATTTACCACGACACATTCGTTACGATTCGCACGTAGTGTCTTGTCGGTGATTACCGGTTTTACTGGTGCGAATGGAAATTCGATGTAACTTCGACGGGTTCAATTTTTCGTTCCGTAGACACGGCAACGCGTATCTCATGCCAATTATCACGTATTCATCGCCGCAATCAAACATGGCGATCGCATAGTTTTTTCTCTTCTTCGTCGCGACTAGGGATGTTGTGATACTACGGATGTAATATTCGTATCAATATTTTTCTTTCAATACTAGATATTTTTGTGTTGATATTTTCTCTCGATATTTGCACTTGTATCAGTACTATTTTGTTTTGATATCTTCCTTAATTTCTTACTCAGTTAATCTTCAAAATATCATGCATTTTTGCTTCATAAAAAATAGTGTAACGTATAATTTACGTTTTAAATATATCTTTTTTCATGATTTCTGTTATGTTAATTTTACAGTTATTTATTACTGAAATAAAAGGAAACATTTTTCGAACATTTTTATAAATATGCGAAGTCGATCACGAATGTCATTTTGTGTATATATTGTTTTATTTCCACGTATACCGCAATAATTTTTAGCATGCGAATTTTCGCTCGTAACATCATCAAACAAGAACAGTCATAGCGAGGTACATAGTAGCGAGGACAGAGAAGTTTTAATCCATCCTTTTTAAGATTTTCAAATCACAAACCGTAGAAAGTCTAATGCAGAAAATGTATAATCTTATTATAGTATCTATCTTTATACTATAATAAGATTATTAGACGTACGAAATCTTTAAAAGTACAATAGCTTGCGAGACAAATACTTTCTTGATATTTCCTCTATAATATTTTTATATTTCCTCTAATTTTAATTTTTTTTTTAATTTCGACATCAATATTTTTTCGACATCAGTATTGGTATTGACATTTTTCCCCTAATACTAAGATCACTAATATCGATACTCTTGATTAGATATTCGTTTAAATACTGGTATTCGATACTTTCACGGTATTACAACATTCCTAATTGCGACGTCAAAATCCGAACTCGCTGATGGATATCTCAAATTCTGAACTTCGCTTTTAGGACGAGCGTAAAGAAGATAATTATTACTTCCACGCGACGGTATAATGAAGGAATAATCGGATTTGTGATCGGAAATTCACTTATCGTTTCATCGCGCCCCTCGTCTTTCTTACGAGGTACTTACGGATTATCAATATCTCCGCGGTGCCAAGATTCGATTAGATCCAATATTCCATTGTCCAAGATATATCGCCGCGAAATTGCGATGCAGTGCGCCACGAAGCCCCCGATATTCTACGGCCGCGCACAGTCAGCCGGGCGCTCGTGCTTGTTTCTCCTTCCGTCAAGTATATATACGCCTGACGGCGGTCGTCGCGTCGTTAAATAGAACGGTCCAACTAGTTATTAAGTTCCACAAATCACGATTCCTTTAATGCGATACGGTTTAATCGGGGTGAAGCATAAATTCCATTTATACCGTAACCCAAATCCTCGGGCCGCATCTCGCCTGTATTTCACATCGGGCAGTTAAGACGTGCCGCGAATATGTCCGCTTTTAACGATGATGCGAGTTTCAGAACATGTGTATGAACAGCGCGCTCTAAATCGTACTAAAATTGTCATGCACACGCATCGCGGACTGTGATTCGCGAATTTATTTTCTCTACGGTTGAGCCGGTAATCCGTAACATCGGGGGGCATGGTGTCGCTATTACGGTTTTTTCGTGCACCAACCTGTAGCTGTGTCGTGTTTTCCTGATAATCAGCGCCTGCGTAAGGTGGATACAATTGGGCCAGACACATGACCGCTTCGTTGCAAAATTTTAGGCCCATCACCTCCTCGTCTTCTCTGCCGTAACGGAAAGTCAACGTCACTTGACCGTACACCTTCCGAAAAAAAAAAAAAAAGAAAGAATGTGACTCGGTTAGAAATGACGAATGTAATTTATCATTCATTTTTAGTATGATAATTTAACGTAATAAAGGTACGAGAATTTACTGGTATCACAAGCTTAATGTGAATCTCAACTCTATCATGAGATAAAGTAAATTGAGGCTAAAGCATCGTCGGTGCTTGCGTTTCAATATTCAGGGAATACTTTAAGACATATTGCATCTCGGAGATAGGTAAGCAGATTTTCCCGGATTTTGGAAACGGGGCATTATATTCCTGCCTCTTTCTTCCCCGTTTCTTGCCTTCCGCGAATCGGAGAACTTGCAGTTTGTAGTTGAACGTTAATTATCTCGGATCGAAAGATACGTCGTGGGAAATCTTTCTGTTAGATCCGGTCTGCACGACGGATTTGAGCGGGATTCTTTACGAAGGAGCTTTATTCCAATCATTGAACTTGGTGTTTTCAGATTCGATACGCCCGAGTATTTGAGATATTTATTTCAGGAATATATCCCAAAGTGCCTCACGAAAGCGATATGTTTTGGAGAAAACAATTCGTGAAAGATGTTAAATTTTTAATTATTTCTCGTTACACGACTTCCTTTAGCGAGCATTTCAGCTTACTACAATGAAACCAATGTCTTTTCTGATAAGTCTTAATAGTCATTTATTTTGCCTCGTTTTACCTTTTTCTCCTGTAAGTAGTCGGGATCGACCAAAAGGACACCTTGGAGTTTGTCGATCTTGGATTCACTGACAATAAGATCTCTGCTTGCTAGATACAATGTCAACTTGTTGTTCAGCGAGGATTTCTTGTACACCCTGTAAACCGGAAAATGTTTCATGTTAAGATAGGATGAAATTGAAGAACATATATGGTAGACGCGGGAGGTATTTTATAGAATATTGCAGCTCATGCAGTTCCATTTCCTTGCGAGATATATTAAAGAAGAAAGCTCGTTCGTATAATATCTTATTAATTACGTGGATGGCTAATTTTTGATGAGTCAACTACGGGATATCGATCTTGAAAAATCGGGACTTTTAATAAAAAGTAAATAAATTAGATAAACATAGGTAAATAAGTAAAAAAAAATCTTTATTCATAATTATGTAAAGATCAAATAATCAACTGAATATAGGTTTTTATTGCGTTTTAATATAAATAATCATTAATTTACATATAAAAACAGATGGATATTTTTGAAGTAAAATTAAAAGAACAATCAGCGGAACATGAAATATATATAATTATATCTTTAGGAAAATAAATAATTTCAATAAAAGAAACTAAAATTTGCCTAATTAAATAAAAACTAAACTAGTCCAGGGAATGTTAGCGTCAGACACTTTTAGGTGCTTTTCGTACACGGCAAGGACCTTTCATCTGACGCCTATTGACAGCACTCGCTTTAAGAGGGTTTTAATGAATTTTAATACAATTTATCATTATATTTTGTATTATTTATTTTTCGTTAAGTGAAAAACCGAGACAAATCGTGTCCCGCTCAGGTCAGGGCGTCTTTAATGAGAGCCGAAAATCGGGACGGTTGGTCACATGTGTGGGTGCGAGTTGCTTTATTGGATTTGTCGCTTTATTATCCAGTTATTATCCAACAGTTACAGCGTGGACGTAAATTCTCTCTTACACCTACCGCAAACACAACGTTCGTGATACTTAAATAAATCACACGTTACTTCAAGCGAGCCGCTAGTAATTTAACACGCGTGTATTTCTTGCAGAATATAACATTCTAAACGCAAGATGTGATGCATAAATGCGAACGCGGTCATTGTATTTCGCGTTTGAGCATTTGCCGGAACCGCGGCGGCCAATATTTACTCTTGCATAATGCTTCAGCGCGGCTGCACCGTTGTATGCACACAGAAGTTGTGTGTAAATGCGAGACTTTCGATGCAGATATTACTATATAATGATGTAACGCTTATAGTCCAGAATTCTCCGTGTGCTCGCGCGACGTTCTCCGCCGAAGTGTCATTATTACCTGTGCGGCCCGGCAAACTTGACAAAGCTCTCGGCGCGCGTTTGTCGCGCCCGGCGGTTCGTTGTCTCGATGACATCGTCGGGCTTTCGCATCCGGTCTGAGGGCGGCCTGTCTAAAAGACTGATTCGCCTCACGGCGGTCCTTCACTCTGGAACGGTTACTAACGACCGCAATAGCGGAGAGAACGACGCCGCATTCAATCCGCTTTATTCCGTTTTGTCCTTTATCGAGCGAGTTATCAATTTTACCGGGATTTCGCCTGTCTCTCGCGGACGTGGGTACCGCGTTCATTTGGCCGTAATTCTGCAACTCGCGTGTGTTCGCGCGAATATGCTTATTTGAGTGCGGTCGACTGTACCGTACACATCCGCATCACATCGGATCCCGTTCCTGTTATACGATTCCCGGCGGTCTTTTTCGCGAAACACGATGTGTAACAACGTGTGCGCGCGAACGATCAACAGCATTAACTTTATTTCCATTATTTAATACACGGCAGCAATTAACCGTGGCGTAGCCGATCGGACAATTTACGCGAGTAATCGTCTATAAGCTGCAATTAAAATAAATGATTCGTTTCGCGAGGTTATTCGGCCGTGATCGAGAGAGTGCGCGCAATCGTTTCGCGCTATCAAAGCTGTGAGAGAGCGCATACAATATTCGGCTTGATGCAGTATTTAGCGCGCACGCGAAAGTCGCGATAATTAGCGATGATAAATTCAATAACGATTATTTGGCGTCGCGATTAGCCGATAATGGTTTGTTAAAACGCTTATCTCAAACGCCCTCGCGCCCTCGTCCATATACATTCGACAACGGCAGCTAAGACCACAATCGGCTTAATGAGTCTCTCTGCCGCGTTGGCATTGTCGTGCGCGTTAACGCGTGCACACGCGTCTTACGCCTCCAAATGCAAATAGGTCGAATTAAAAGCCGGCGTGCTGTGTGGTGTGCGCTCGTGATTGTCGCGCATTGCTTTGTCCCAGATTCCCGAAACAGCAATCCTCTAATCTCCTCGAAAGTCGTCTTTGAATCGGAGTTGTGCGCGTCACCAATGAGAGAGAGAGAGAGAGAGAGAGACCAACGTGGCTTTGCATCATTTCACTCGTCGCTTTCGAATCTGGCTTCGGCATTTCAATATATCATATCTAACGTGTGCTTCATCGCGGCGGAATCGAGAAAGAAATTAACGAACGGTCGATCGATGCGCTAATACACGCGGCGGGACGCGCGATCGATACTTACGACACACGTATCATCAGGCATTATTGACTTTCTTTCCAACAGAGCGAGAGGTGTTGATTAATCCAAACGCCGCCTTACAAAGTAACGTGTTGGTGTGGGCGACGCCTTAATTAAACTCTACAACGGAGTTCATTGCGCGACGGTTGATGTCGTCGCTCCGACAGAAGACGTGTTTTTTAAATTAAACGCGAGACTCGAAGCGCCGCGCGCATTAATCAAACTTTGCTCAGTACGGTTGTATACTTATCGCTGATGTATTTGTGAGATACACCTCGCCGTCGTGACGTGCTAAAGTAGGATTTATGATGAGTTTAACCGCGTCTCGGGGCGCGAAGATCCTGTTAAATCCTTACAACTCTTGCTCTTTGATGTTCTTTTTACGCGATACCGTGAAATTACATCTCGCTAACATTATCTAATACTAGTACTCTAATACCCTTTCCATTGTCGATGTTAGATCGCGCGTGGAACCTCAAAAGTTTTGTTGGAACTGATTTAAGATATTTATAGCAAAAATGAGTTTTTAAAGAATTCTTTGAAACTTGTACTATATATAGATTTAAATATGACTTGATTATTGACACAGTTGCACACGGTCTTCAGCACACGGCAAGATAATGCTGTTGAATCAATAGAATTTTCAACAGCATGCGTAATTGGAATAAATCTTCTTGATTCAATAGCGATATCATTGAAACTAATGTTCTAATTATTGAAACAATACATAACATAAAAGTTTTAATGATATTTGCTATTGACTTAAGAAGATTTACTCCAATTACGCTACTGTTCGGAATTTCATCGCTCAACGGCATTTTTTTTTTTCATGTAAATTGTCCATTTGGAAACTGTGAAATTGCCAACTAAAAATGATATTTTTTATATACTTGTTATTCTTTGAGATTATAATGTCTTATTTTTAACTTCTATTTTCAGTTTCTTTTAAATCATATTTTGGATTAATGAAAAATTACTGTGATATTAAAGACTAATATAGAGACATTATATAAAAATTTCAGAATTATTGATCATTGTGTTTTGAAAATATAGCGGTTTAAACTTCATAACTTATAACAATATTCGAAATACATATGAACATATTTAAACACTATGTTTCTTTCTATTATATGTGCATATCTATTAGATCAAATAATGTATCAAAAAAATAGCATTAATAAGAAAAATAAAAAATAAAAAATAATGTTTTCGTATTTGTAATATTGTATATATAGTCTTCGTTTCAAATTAATATTTGTTATCTAGATAATGAAATCAATGTATAGAAACATAATTCACTTGATAAATACTAAAGTTATGAATGATCCCGTTGATGTTACACTGAAAATACGGCGGTACAATTATCTGCGGTATAACTATCTTAATGGAATTTATAAGACGCTAATGGCAGTCTCGATTTTACAATTGATAAGACCGGGCGCGTATCGCCGGAGCAAATCTGTCTAGAAACAAAACGTCTTCGCTTTGTCGCATTTTCGATGACCTTTTTTTGTATGTATTTCAATATCGTTGACACGTATAATTGATAGCTGAAAAACGGAAACGCTTTAAAGTAAATATGATGAAGCCCGTCGAGCCAAAAAGACAGAATATATATGTTATCAGAAATAAATTAAAAAAAAAACTCTCTGTAGATCATAATGTTATGATAGAAAAATGAAAACATATTTTTATCTGAAGCGGAAATTAATACTATAGCGAATAAGTTTTCTTTTTTATTTAAGCCGAAAACGAATTTTCCGCTTAAAGAACGAACAAATTACATTTGGTATTTCGTTAATAACAGAAACGACTTTGCCTCGAATGGTATTACGTTATCGATGTGCACCTAATCTAAAAATCAATGATAGGATAACTCGAATAATCTTATTGTACGACAGAATTAGAGATAATTCCACACATTGTTGCTCGAATTCAAAACACGACTTACCAAGATTTCAGCAAAATATTCATAGGCTATGTACTATACTTTAATGTTACTTTTAATATTCACTCTGTAATTGTCACGTTGATGAAACATTGTATCTGATATAAGATCAGCGATAAATCACCCATATTGTGACAAGGTTCCTGATCACAAAATATAGATACAGATCGCACCGTCTATACGTCTATACAATCTGACGTTAACATCTTGTTTTTTCTCTCTCTCTCTTTTTTCTTCCAATTTTGCGTTGTCCCGTATATTTTCTTTGTCAATATGAAAGCTAACGTTACACTTCGAAAGTTCCCTCCACTTCATCGACGTCATGACAAAGTCANCCCCCCCCCCCCCCCAGTCTCTCAACTTCTCGGTTAAGCGAATTCGTTCGACCATGAAGATCCAATAATACTTTTCCTTTTTCCACCGAACTGGCTACGGCTATATCCAGAATAACCGGGTCAAGGATTCCTCGCGACTTTAATTATTCAGTTTTTCGAGCTTCTAATGACTCCGTATAAACGTGATACACGCGCGGATTTTTTTCACATTAAGGTCTTGCGGAAGCTGCTAACGGCGCGCATTATCGTAATGAATGTTTTAATGGATTTCGACATTATGAATATGAAAAGCTCGCGTTCTTTCGTTAGTCGCGATAGTCACGACTGACAGATTTTTCGCGTTTGATCCGTTAAATTGAAGTTATGCAAATTAAAGACGAGGCAATTTATATATTTTCGTCGAGCTTAAAAATTATAGAAATTTTCATATGAAAAATACATGAAAAATGCAGTTTGAATGAAAAATGCAGTTTGATGTACAATGTTTTTTAATATCTTGTAATTTTTTTCAGTAAAATAAAAACGAGATGCGGTGTGAACAAAAAAAAAAATGGTAATCGTTCGCGATTGCAATTTACTTTTCGATCGATGATTATTTATAACCGACTTTTTATGACCTTTTTATTACCTTGAGTTGTTAAATGCAGAATCCGATATGTGGTCCGGACTTGTATTAGTTTTTCTGAAACACAGAAACAACGAGTCACGTTATTCACTGAGGAACTAGATTTGTTTTCAGAGTGTACGAATGAGAGACTTATATGAAGTTCCGAAATTTATCGACGCAGTATTTCGAATGGGCGTATAAATAGAAAACTCGAATTCATTCCATCGTCGTAAAGTCATCGACTTTGTCGCTGTGGATTATGGAGAAGCAATTTCAATTATTGATGTTTCACTTGCCAACAGTAGCATCGCATAGGTTTGTTTATTCCACCCACGTTTCTCGGCTGTTTGGATTGGAAAAGTATAACATGTGTCATGACGTTTCGCGTCATATCGTTACTCATCATCAAGAGAAATCTCTCTCTCTCTCTCTCTCTCTCTCTCTCTCTCTCTCTCTCTCTCTCTCTCTCTATATATATATATATATATATATATTTTTTTTTTCTCTCACTTTTTCTTCACTTATATTTAGATTTACCGTTAACGGAGAGAACGATTTAATGAGCGTCTCAAGTCCATTGAAGGACAATTCCACTAATATGCTTCGATTTGCAGGAATAAGAATTTTCTGAGAAATGGAAAAGTCGACTTTTCTTCCAAGATTCCTCAGGTTGCTTCTCATGTCATTCGTTACATACGGACGCTTCGTGTCTATGATATAATTTCTAAGATCTCCATTTGGAAATCGGGGCTTCGGTGATCATATCAGAGAGGGAAAGAGAGAGTTTTACTCGTGACATTAATGTAGGAGATCGCTCGAACAAATTAACGTACTGCAACAAACTGCTTGGTTAATAAGTTCAAAACGCAAGGTTAAATAAGTGAGTTATGTGCGGGCTCGCGTAAGTTGCCATTGTTTTAATTGTAGATTGTTATGGTTGCGTCTTATGCGCGTTATACAAATATATATATATATATATATATACAGCTTTTTGTGCCGCTCTGCACGAAATTAAATAAATATGCGCGGGATTACGCGGTACACACGAACATAGGGGAATGTTCTTTACGGGGCTTTTATATTTATAGTTTCATTTCCTCCGGGCAGATGTAACCGGCGAAAAAATATTTTTCCGGGCGCATGATAGAGGAGAGCCTCGGTCGGTAAAATATCACTGTGAGATATTTCAGTGATACGTTCTTTGATAGATTTGTCTCGGCTTTGATTAGCAAAAATTTTTACTTAGTACCTATATTATCAGATGTAATAATTTATTGGCAATCAATTAGACTTTACAGTGATAATGTTAATTTGAGGTTTAATTGCCGAGATATCTAAAGTTCAGAATTAGGAACTAAAAGTCAGCGAGTGTAATTGGGATCTTTCATTAAAATTTCTTCGTGATGACGAGATGAAATGCTTTTCACTCTACACAGCGTTCTCTTAATAATCTTATCTATCAATTGAACACGCTTGGGCGACTTCGATCACGTTGCAATTAAGTAGATTGCTACGGGGAGTGACGCCGATAGTTCGACGTGATTGTAATTTATCGTAGTGGTAATTGCATTACACGGAATTATATACAGTGCACACACATTATGTGCGACCTTGAAAGAGATCGATAACCCATCGACTGTATTTGTAGCGTGTTGCGCTGCGTCACTGCTTGCACTGATTCCGACGTAGTATCCGTTTCTCGTTGTCTTAAATAGCAATACGCCAAAGTAGCTCGCGATTGGAGAACCAGACGTGATAAAAATTTTTTTTTCTTTTAAGCAAAATGAAACGTTTTACCGTATGCGCCCCGCAAGAGTTGCACCGCGGTTAAATGCGGTTATCTGCAAACATTACGTTACTACGTACACGAAAAACAAGATTAGTTGAATTAACGAGATATGTGTGACATGAGAATTAACGAGACATAAACTAAACGCATTTTGTTGGAAGGAAACACAATTTTTGGTTTTTTTTAAGTATTTGACTCGTAAAAATTGGAAATTCTACTTCCACCAAAACGCGCTTAATTATATCATGTCACGTTAATTTAACCAATATCATTTTCTATGTACTTTATTTCCCCACGACAGTCGATCGAAACCGTGCATAATTGTATGTTGAGAAGACACCCGGAAGAGGGATTGAAGAGTAACGGGAATTACTTCCGTTTACATTCTTTCGCCCCGATAACGACGACGATCGAAAGCTATTTCGCCTCCATGTTTACACCTTTCCATTAACCCAATTAAACATTTTTACGTTCAGTATAATGCGGATCTTTTCGGGAAATAATTCCAACTTAGATTTATAGCCACGTATAAGGCGGAGTGTTGATGGTGGGTATTGATCGGGATGCGCGCGATAAACGGGAAAGGGCTGCACTGACATTAAGACCGCGTAATTCACGGCACGTATAATCACTTCGAGTAGTATCACACGTTGGACTCGGCGCTTGGCGTGCGCAAAAATGTATTCGCGCTGTATCCTCTTTCACGGTGGATTAATTACGCGAGTAGAATTTAAATGTACGACCTTTTCCTTTGTGTAAAATAACAAACATAACGCGCAGCTTCGTAGTAACTTTTCGAATAGTACTCTCAAATAATCTCGAGCGGAGCCAACAAAGCCCGGGGCACGCTCTCTTTTATTGTTGAAATGACATAAAACCGTTACAGGAGATGAGTGTATCGGCATTTTATTATATTCATGAAACTTGTCGTAGAAAAAGTCAGTTTATCATTGCGGCTTTTGTGCGTACTGCGTCACACGTGAACGCACTAGCGAACGTGATTTTATTATTGTTCATTTACCTTAGTCAACTTATTAATCAATTAGTCCATTTATACTAAAGTTCGCGCGCAAATACGCATATACACACGTTACACTCTCTATATATTGTTTCATTAAACGAATATTTCGTATCATTTAAGATTAAGTGTGATTGAAAATGTTTCTACGTCAGCCACGAGAGCATAAATTACGGGTAACGTGAATAATACGCACGCTCCACGTACGAATGTAATTACTGTTACACGTGAGCGATATTCGTAACATGCCCTACATATACAGATTAACACAAGGTGAGACCGTAATTGCCTCGAATATTTCCGAAACTATGAGAGTAAGTAAAAATTTATCTAACAAAAATTACATGGTACAGAAGCGGTTTTGTTATGGTGGTAATGCTTTTTTTCAGGTGGAATAACTTCAAAGATCTGAAGATCATCTTTGTTTTTTTCTAATGGAATCATGTCCGTTTTTTTCAAAATTTTTCTATGTTTGGTCATAGCGATCGATTCCAACTGTCATTCTGTGTATAAAACTGTCAAGGTGATGTTATCGAAAAATGAATACTTTATAAAGTATTTCATATTTTGTACTGGAAAATATTGAAATAAAAAGTAAAATATCTCGGAAAATATTCACTTTTCGATCTTACCCTAGTACTTCTACACGCAGAATGAACACAGGAATCGATTTATGTTAGCAAAACTATATCACTCCGTTAAAAAAAAAAAGAAAAAAAAATGACCTTCGGATCTTTGAAACTATTCCACTTAGGAAAAGAACGTTACTACCATAAGGCGACCGCTTCTGTATGTAATTTCTCTTATTCTAATAGTTTCGAAGATATTCAAGGTGGCAATAGTTATTGCCTCATCCTGTATTACTCATTACTCTTCGCGTTTTCGCGATGTAAAGCCCAGACAGCGCGGTGTTATTTGCGTATCGGCGCATCTCGTGAATGTGCGCGCGCGCGCTTAATTAAGTTAGTCGCAGTTCCAACTTTATCAGTCGCCCTTCCCAGACCGAATGCAACTGGGAACCAATCGCAGGGCGCAATCGCTCGGTTTTATCCGTGCGCTTGTTCGCGAATTTCAAGGTGCATCGAAACATTAACGTCAGTCGTTTCGCACCGGCGCCCATTATCGAGCGTCGTTTTACGAGCATTGCGCGTTCCGCGCAATGCAACGTGTTGTGCGGCCGACGGGACGGCTGCAGGCGATCAGGTGCCGCAGCATCAGCGACGGCAACGGCATGAGAATGAATGTCATACCGACCGTATACCTCGCATATGTCGAGGCTGAAATCAAAGCGGAGCGGACGGAATAAAATTTTTGTCGTCGACGAAAACGCGCGGCATGACCTGCGCTGTGGCAGAGTGCGATCGTGCCGAAAGAGAGAGAAAGAGGGGCGACGACGACGACGGCTGGATATAACGGCGATGACGCGACACTCGGCGAGCAAATTCGTTATTACGCGAGAGTCACAGACGGATCTACGTGAAAAGCGGGATAACTTGATTTTTCAGCTCTTAATCCCGTCGAGGACGTTCTCTCTGCGCGTTTAAGCGCGATGTGTCTATCTATGATAAATGGAAACCGCTTGGCGCGGACAACTTGTATTTTTCTTCTCCCGTGCGTAGAAAGAGAAGATGAAAAACGATCCCATAATGATTTCGTGAGATTCGAAGCCAATAATTGTTGAGAGTCCGCGGTAATAGTACTCGTAACAGTACGAGAGAGAAAGAGAGCGATGTTGTATCGTGGAGGCGGCCTTCGGGAAATGTTCAACTCCAAATCCGAGAAACTGAAATGTTCCGCTCGCTGAAATGTACGCGCGAATACGGCTGTCCGTCAAGAGTAAAACGGTAGTAATAGCGCCGAGGGGCCAAGGTTCCACGTTTTATGCCGCGCTGTTAGGAATTGAGTCGCGGTTAGTATGCCGGAAATGGGAAATAAATACCATGAGAGCCAAAGCTACCGGGCTTCTCTCAGGCCGGACGACCGATATCTCGATTTATCGCGCATACAAAACGTGACTGTTCTGCTCTTCCGTCCTTATTGACAGACTGACCGTGGTGGGTCATGGGTTATTCAAACTATGGTGTTGCGTTACTATCAGATGCAGCCTCGCTCGGCGTCAACGAGAGCCTCTCCGTTAAAGTATCGGTCTAACGAGATCGTCGCGGACAAGAGGCCCTGGATGGTCGTCTAATTTGTTATGATAATAGAACGGCCTCTGGTTATCGCATCAGAAGATTATTTTCTCATGCGGCTCGCGCGCCGCAATCT